TGAAAGCCTTGAGGCTTATTAAGTGTTGAATGTGTGGGGATTGAGGGGCTTCTCTGGGGCACAGGGAGAGTTTGTGATTTGAGACCTTTGAAGAGTCTACTGCTATGAATGCCCTTTACCCAGAGACCACCAGGAGCACACCTGTAAGTTAAACAAGCGGGGTTTATTTTGCAGTCATGGGAGAACATACCCATGGGGTGTTAAGGGGTGTCTTAGTAAGAGGGTGTTAGAAAGTACCTACTAGAGAATTTGCGCTGCTTTTTGGATGATTTAGAGATGAGTCTATGGGGTAGATTATATTGGTTTCTTAGGCTCTCTATGAACAAGTATCATAAACTGTTGGGTAAAAAGTATAGAAATTTTTCTTTCATGTTTCTGGCATCTGGGAGTGTGAAACCAGGTGTCAGCAGAGCTATATTCTTTCTAAAGGCTCTAAGGAAAAAGTCCCTCCCTGTCTCTTTCTAGCTTCTGGTGGTTGCTGGCAGTCCTTTTTGGTTATAGATGTATCACTCCAGTCTCTGCCTCCACCATTACCTTCCCTGTGTACCTGTTTCTAATCTTTGTCCATATAGGGACATCAGTCATTGGATTTAGGGTCCATCTTAATCCAGAATAACCTCATCTTAACTTTACTATATTGACAAAGACCTTGTTTCCTTATAAGGCAACATTCTGAATATGGGTGAACATTTTCAAAATAGTCTTTAAAAAAATGTATGTGTGTATGTATATTTGTACGTATGCACATATGTATGTATGTATGTATGTATGTATGTATGTGCGTGTTTATGTGGTACTGAGAATTTAACCAAGGGGCTTTCTACCACTGAGCGAAATCCCCAGCTCTTTTATATTTTGTGAAAAGGTCTTGCTAAGTTGCCCAAGTTGGTTTGAAATTTGGGATCTTCCTGCCTCAGCCTCCTGAATAGCTGGTGTTATAGGTGTGCACCACCATGCCCCAGAGTAACAGGCTTTAATTTTTAGAGCAGTTTCAGTTTCTAAGCAAAATTAAGTGCAAGGTAGAGAGATTTCTAACAACTACTGTCCTCACAACACAGACAGCCCCTTTCACTATGATCATCTTACACCAGAATGGTCCATGTTTAATTTACAAATGATGAACGTACATTGACACATCTTCATCATTAACTAGAGTCCATAGCCTATATTAAGGTTCATTTGTGGTGTTGTACATTGTATGGCTTTGGGCAAATGTACAATGATATGTACCATCATAGTAATACATAGAGTAGTTTTATTCCCCTAAAAATTTTCTGTGCTCTCACTTTTTAAACCCTTACTCTGTCTTAACTCTTTGGCAGCCACTGGTCTTTATATTATCTGTATATTTTTTATCTTTTATGGAATGTCATAAAGTTGGAATTTATATAGTATGTAGCTTGTTCACATTGGCCTATTTCACTCGGTAATGTTTTGTTCATGTCTTTTTATGATTTTTCTTTTACTGTTGAATAATATTTTGTAGTATAAATGTGCCACAGTTTATTTATCATCCCGTTTACTAAAGGGCATCTTGGATGCTTTCAGGTTTTGAAAAGTATGAATTATGCTCTCATAAACGTGTAGCCTTTTGTGTGCAATTTTGACTCCTTGGATGAATGCCAAGGGACACAATTTAATTGCTGGATCATATGGTAAGAAGAGTTTTTTAATATTTATTTTTTAGATGGACACAATATCTTTATTTCTTTATTTTTATGTGGTGCCAAGTATTGAAGCCAG